CAACTCAACACACACACACACACACTAAAAAAAAAGTCTCTCACCTTACCGACCTTTTTTTTTCACAATTCTTATTAGTATTAGTATTAAAAAAAATTCCATCCATTTTTTTCATCATGGCTGCGATGAAGGATTGCCTCTTTTACGTCGGCCTCCTCATCCTCGCCCACGCGATCTACGCCGCGATGGGGCGGCGGGGTCAGCTCCAGGCCTGGCACCACAGCCGCACGTGGGGCCCTCTCCCGGGCCTGGTTTTTTTCCTCATCGGGGCAGAGGCGCTTCTCGGGATGCTCCTGGCGATGGTTGGGTTTGTTTACCGCAGCCCTCTTAAGGAGGCCCGCTTGGCGGAGCTCACGCAATATTATCGCTACGACCGAAATATGCACACGGGGGTGGGGTTCATCCATTTCAACCACCGCGGCACCCTCGGTGCGGCGAGAAAGCCCGCGGAGGATGGCAGGGCTTCCGAGACAAGCCTCCTCGACACCGAGGGCGGCGGGGAAACGGAGCTTGCGAAGAAAAACGATTAAATCGGCATACGAAACCGAGATGGAAAGAGAGAGGTGAGAACTGGAGATGGCTGTGGCGAATCCGTGTAGACGGTCGTCTTCGGGCGTAAAGTGGATTAAACGAACTTGTAAGGGTCATACTGTGAAAAGGAATAAGAATGATAGACTGCAATTCCTTTCAGAAAAATAAATAACTGAAGTTAACAGATTTGGCGATATATTTTTTTTGCGCTAAGCATATATCATCTCATACTTATGCACATCGATTGAATACTCTGCGCACGTTCTGAGTTCTTGTAAAGGGTTCGATATTTTTATTATTTATAATGCATTCGAACAGATAAGAGGGCTTTCATTCCTTTTTTTTTTTTACGTACGGTTCACAAGCAGGGTTGATGCTCTGGTAGTTTATTTATACAGACGATAGACGGTGAATCTTTTTGGAAATATTTGAGTACGTCAAAAAGTCTGATCTTCTGAGAAAGGAGGAAAGGGAGGAGGTATAGCCTAGCTAACAACTTTTTACACATAAACGCATAGATAACGAGTACCGTGTGTAATTATAGGAAGTACTAGCTCCGGTTATATACTTTCATCACTAAGGGTGCGCATAAAATGTTTAGAAAGACTCTATGGTCCTACTCTAGAGTCATGATTGGGCATCCTACAACACTTTTACTGGGCAATAAGGGAGGTACACCCAAGCGGAAGAAAAACCCCATGCAATTACGTCGAAAGGTGTATGGAATTCACTTTAAGGAGCGTTATTTAAAGCTTGAGGAGTGGTATTATTGCCCGATATGCTCTGAGCCCAAAAGGCAAGGGGAGTGGTGCCGTCGAGAGGAATGTAGGCAAATAAAACCATAAAGAGCAGGTTTGCAGGGCTTGAAAGGAGGCAACTGAGTGGGAAAATATGAATATACGTTTTGGGAATTCTTAACTTAATTCACACAAAAGTACTTAACACAAACTTACTATATTTGCCTTGTTTTTTTATGTGGTGGAATATCGATCTATTAATATGCACAATGGTTAACCCTTTTTGGCGTGTGCTTTGATGAGTTAAAGCGGATTTGGGCCATTAAAGCTATCGTCAATAACACTAAACGAAAGGCAAGCACAGTTTTGCTATTTTTGTGAAATTGAATTTAGTTATTTTTATTTCCGTTATATGCCCATACTTGCTTTTTCTTGATACCTTTCTTCCATCATTTCGACTGGTCTACCATTTTTATTCGTATTAGTGGTAAAGTGGTATCTTTAGCTCCATTCCCCCCACCCACCTACGCATCTGAAAACACCGACATTGTTAAGGCAACAACAACAGCAAAGGCAAAGAAAGCGTAAAGAAATCGTCTTCTGCCCGTATGCAGCCCTTATTTCACGAGTCCGAGCCCCCCTCTGAGGGCGCCTCGCCCCTTTCACGGCTCATTCCCTTCGAGGTCCCTCCCCTTTCCGGCCCCAGACGGCAAAAGCGGCATCGCAGCAGTGGCCGCGGGCCTTCTTCGGCCCTTTTACGCTCTCCTCCTTCCCGTTCGGTTTTTTTTTGGTCTTCCCCGCAGGGGTCTGTCGTGTTTCGCGCGTTGAGGGGCTTTTTGGAGCTCGGCGACCGCCCCCACGCGGCGTACGCGGCCCTCATGGCGACCTTCGCGGGCCCCTCCTGGTCCTCCGCCGTCCGCCTCCGCGGAGGGCGAGAGGGGAATAAGGGGAAAAGGGAAGGAAATGAAGCGGAAGGGGAGATCGGCGGGGTGTCGGGAAATACGGTCGAGCGCCTTTCCCGGGCGGCGCTCCAGCAGGCCCTCGCCCTGGTCTGCGGGGTTATCGCGGCGGATAGCGAGGGCAGACTTCTCCTTCCTACCCTACCAAATACTTCTTCATTATCACCTCCTCGAGGCGTGATGGCGCTTTATTGCGCCTTGCAAGGCCTCGGCCTCGAGCTGGAGGACGTCTCCGCGCAGCTGGCCCTTTTAAATAATACGACTAATAACGAACCAAACGATATCAACGCAGTGGAGGAAAAGAAACGAGAGGGGTTGCGTGCACAACTTGATCGAATTCTTCGTCAAGTTGAACAGTGCGTGAATGCGATGGAGCAAACCTTGATTGATATCATCCTTTCCATCCCGCAGGATTCCGATTTCAGTTTGTTCGCGACCATGCACCTACCAACCTCCCATGGGACGCTTTCCTACACCGCCGGGTTGTTCAAACGTCTGGGTGATATTTTCAAAGAGTACTCTTGGCCTTTTCAACTTCTCGCCTCGTCTGCCTCCGGCCTTAGTACCGAGCCTTTTTCAGAAGGGTCTCGCCATGCCGGGAGCCTGCCGGATGACTTAACATTGCTTGATTTGCTTCCGCATTTGAGTCCCGATGTTGATTCCTCTCTTTCGCAGGCGGAACTGCTTTTTCACGTCGGGGAAGGGGTCACGGCGATTCTCATCGCGACCTTGCGGACGCTCCGGCAGGGAGTGGATGGTGGGAATTGCCTTGGCATCGCGCCCGCCACGCCGCTCGCGCGGATGGCCGCGGCGCTGCCTTTCCAGTCCACCTCCACCTTCGCGAACGGCCGCGCGGTGATTCGCCCGGCGGTGGATCTTCAGAGTTCGTCCTTTTCCATCATCGAGGCCAAGGCGTGGGCAGGGCAGTACGCGCTCGTTGGGCTACGCCGCGCTCATCTCGAGATGCAAGGACTTTTTTTTAAACTTTTCCACAGCCTCGGGAAAGAATTAGGAGGTCCTACGAATGAACTGCCCTCTCGCTCCACCGCGGCAATTCAGAGACGGCGATTTCGTGATTTAAGATTTTTGTGGGATAACTGGAATCGTTCGATTCAATGGCATTATACAGCATTTTGGCAACGCCTGGGCCTCATGTCCACCAAAAGTGTCCAAAACTGCGATGGCGGTAACCTTAGCGGGGCTGACGATTCTTTGCCGTCCTTTGATTTGAAGCATGACTGTGTATTTGATATTCTGGCTTCGAATAAGGTCGATTCATTAACCGCACCCCAGCAGGCGGCGCTTCGTATTATTAATTATCTCCAATCCTTTGACAAGAAGGACTGGTTTCGTTTTCCCGCCTTTGACCTCGCAAATTTCGACTTTACAAGCATTGTATCCTGGATTCAAAGCCCAAGCTTTGCGCTGAAGTCGAATCGAGCGGTTTTTGATGCTCTACGTCGTGTATTAGAGCATATGGTGGATGTTTGCGTTCGAAAGTACGGACCTCTGCACAAGTTTAGCGAGTGTATTTCTTCCATCCGACAGCGGTTGGTTCATGCATCCCAAACAGAGGGTCTTTTATAACTTAACAGTGTGCATAATACTCGCCAAACTGAAAGGAGATGAGGAGATCCGAACTGTGTATTCTAACACGTGATTGGATTTGGAGTTCATGTTTTTAGTATTCGTGAGTTTATTTGGATCTTTGATAATACGTTTTATTCTTACTGGCTTAGTTCTTCTGTCACAAACTATCACTTCTTTATTCACCTTTTCCATCTCAGAAAAAAAAACCATACAGAATATTTTTATAGTGTTGATCCCATCGCGCGTTTACTTATTATAATTTAGATAGAAAGGGGCGATTAATATCCATTTATTAAAGGGACTTCACCCCTTTCTCCAAAACACAAATATCTTAAAAAAAAAAGAGCTCAATCCATGACCTTTTCCTTTAACGTGATGTCGACGACTGGGCAGCGGTTCCCGATCTCCGTCCTGGGCCCAGACCACACCGTGGCCGACATCAAGGCCAGGCTGGAGGAGGTCGAGGGGGTTCCGCGCGCGATGATTTGCCTTGTCCACGCCGGACGAAAGCTCGAGGACGACAGCACTCTCGCAAACTGCGGGATCCGGGCTGGGGTCACGATTAACATGGTCCTTGCCCTTCGCGCCGG